ATAGACAAAGCAACAAAACGGCTTATAATGTTGTTTATTTTAAATGATAAATAATCTAAGCCTAATGTTATCGTCAACCGGATGTTGTTTGTAAAGGACATTGTTGATCATTCAAGTATCCAAAGGGAAATTCCATTATTTTCTTAAATACTTTTGTATAGATAAATTGTATTACTGATTATAAATACAAGGCACCGTATCTAATTACAATTATGAAAATAAGACAATACAAGGAAAAATCCCAAGTGCCGGGACTTCCGTCCTTGTATCCCATTTTGGACCTTTTTGCAAACAACAATAAAATGTAATAATACAATCCACTAAAAATAGTGATAACTGACAACATATTATTTTAACCTTGATAGAAAATTAGTTAAGTTAGTTGTAAGATAATTTTATATAAATAAAGAAACAACTTTCTAGAAAAGTTAGTAATTTTAAACTACTCAATCTGTGTGCATTTATTGTCGAGGGACATTAGGCATAACATACATTTATGCTTTCGTCAGCTGTGATCTGCCAGTGGACAACTTTTTAATTTTGAGTAAGCTACGTCATTCAGTTGGTGTTTGGTAGCCGTTCATAGCAGACAACCTCGTGAATTTTTTACGAAAAAGTGAAATTCGTGTGCTGATTAAGCATTACTGGCCAAAATTCACGAATTGGGATACGAACTACTATCCCATCCAGCATATTCTCCAGATTTAGCCCTCTGCGATTATTTTCTGTTTCCAAACCTAAACAAATGGCTGGGCGGTAAGAGATTTGAGTCGAATGAAAAAGTCATTACCGAAACAAACGCGTATTTTGAGATCTTTGAGACAACCTATTATTTGGAGGGAAAATAGAAAATTACAAAAACGCTGGACTAAATGTATCGAGTTAAAAGGTGATTATGTAAAAAAATAAAATGTTTTTTGCCTTTTTTGTTTTTTTGTTTTATTCAAAAAGTCACTGACTTATCATACCGCCCTCGTATATTAAATTTTCTGTTTTTCAACTTAAAAACCCACCTCTTCATTTAAAGAGTATGCGTTTAGCATGGTAAGTGTTTTTATAATAAAAAATATGTGAAGTATTATGTTGTTATTATGGGTACATATCATGTGATCCGGACCTAGCATTTATAACAAACCATTCCGTTTATATAAAACCATAATATTATTTAGCAATAATTCAAGATTTAACTATACTTCGAAAACTGACCATTGAATGACCTAGTTTCAAATTTACTCTTTGGCCAAATATATGCTTTTGTCAATCGTAGGTTATGAAATAAAAAATAAGAAAAAGCAAAATAATTTTGCAATGCATATAATTAGGTGTATTTGTGGATAGAAATAAAATCTTTTCTATAAAAAGATTTTCAAGTGACTTATTCCACTTATTCCGCAGTTTGGGGTTAACATTTATAACCCCAAACTGCGGTACAGTATATTACGATTGAACGTACTCCTGCGTAAAAAATTTTTGGTTTGTTTGCAAAAGCTATTAGAGGATTAGATAAATAGTTTACTCAAATAGTAAAGTAGGCATGATTAATGTAATGCACATCAATTAAGGATAGGGAGGATAAAATTGGCAAAATACCCCATCTTGTTTTACACCTTGAGTGCCTTTAAAGTAAGAAAACATATGATGACCCATAAGCAATTGCTAGTGTTCGAGTATAATTAGACAAACAATACCTTGCATAACAAACCTAGAGTAGCTAGTTTGAAAAAGTAGGCACTCCTATGAGCAGTTGAGCATGAGCTATACCATAAAAGTCAGGATCTTTTTTTTCAAGAAATTATTTAATTATGATTTCAATAACGAAATCAGTATGCCAACGCAAAAAAATATTAAATTATATGGCGAAAATGAAACACTAAAGAAACTAGGCAGGCTTTATTATAAAATCTAGGCAGGTAAAATCATTACCGGGAGCTTTATTAGATTGAGTATTTGAATCATGAATCTAGAAAAGAATTGACAAAAGATAAAACGCGGAATACATGAATACTTTTACTTGACCGACTTGATGTTTTGTTAATTTGCTGTAAAAGTTCATTAAAAAACCCACTTTCTGTGTAATATCAAAATGAAGCCATAAATCAGCTGTAGAATAATTGAATTAATAAATTATAGTTATTTTATATTATTAAATTTCTATTCTATACTATTATTTTAATGAGGCATTATTTATGCATAATTTTATATTATTCTTTTTTGTCTTTGAAAGCTAATCTAGAAACGTAATAGGGATAAAGTCGCGCTAATAATAAAGTTGGTTTTTTTATGACAATAGTGTTTATGACAACGAAATAGAATTATATTTTTGGTTACGTCTACGACGGTAGAATTTGGCTATATAAAACACTAAAAAATACAAGAAATTTCCTATTTCGAAAAACATGAAAACCACATAGTCATTTCCTGGTTAACTTGGTCATTATAGAAATTTTATAATAAAGTTTGCATAAACCGGTTGTTATTAATCGATTTAATAAAGCAAGATATGAAATTGAAATTTAAATTGTCTTTCGTTCATTCTTTCAAACATCTTTTAAAAGATTTTCAAAAACCTTTGCTAGTATTACCTTGTTAACCCTAAAGAATTTTTTATTTGAGCAGCACTGCATGAGCACTTAGAGCTAAGTTATACCAATGCGCAGAACGATTTTAGTATAATACCAACGTATATCGTTGTGTTATACAAATGTCTGAAATTTGGCACTAAACATTGTAGTACCTTCGTAAAAAATCCATAATGCATTTTTTTACTTTACGATTAGCATTTTAAAATTGAAAGTTTAATCAAGATTCTACATTTTTTATATATAACTATAACTTAGTTTTGAACTAATGCAATATTTACACATTGTATATAAATATTTGTTATTGAACCATATAGATCGGTATAGATACCTTAATGAAGCATGTTAGAATGAAGTGGTAAGTGTTTTAAATTTTTACTTTCTGTTGCATGTTTTTTAGAATATGATATCATAAGTAAGTTAACTCTTATATGCATTAACAATAAAACTCAACAAATATTATGTAAATATTTTTAAAATTGTGTGTATATTATAGCTCATTCATCAAAATAGTTTAAGGTTTGGTTGTTGGGATTGGTACCAACTTATCAATGAAGATATTTGTATACAACTATAATCGAAGTTGTATGTATTGAACGAGTATGTATACAACAATTTTGTATGTTATGCTGAGCAAAAGCACATAATTGAATCAACCTACGCTTATATCGAAAACCTAACCTTCCTCCACTTGCCAGCACTAACTGAAATTTTACTTTATTTCTTCTGTCTGAAAATAATTATATCAACATCCATACGCAGAAAACTACTAACCATTGATCTGCAGTGAAAAGCAGTAAGCAAAGCAAACGGTTTGAAGGAGGAATTAAGGCGCGGATAACATATAAGCATATTTGGATGTTTAATATTAAAATTTCGCAAGATCATATACAAAATGAGATTAACGAAAATAAATATATTTCCGAAATAAATACTTTTTACAGTGTTCTGTACTCTAAAATTAAATACATTAGAATTACAGAAATGAATATGTACATAAACAAAAAGTGTTTTATATATAAAAAAATTTGTATTGATTTTATTAGTATTTATTTCTTTACATTTATTAATTTTTGTTATAACTTTAAATATATGATTTCTAATACTAAAATTTGCTATTATCAAATTTGTAACGTAGAGTTCGAAATATTTTTGGTAATATATAATATGTTTATATAAAAATTAGGCAGCCGTCTTAGTTTTAGATTTATTCATTTCAGTATAACATAACACTTCGTTCAATAATGTGTGTGACTAACTAATTAAAACACTTTTTTTTGCCAAAATTCGTTTTTATTCATCAACATAGTCCCCTTTTAGAGAGATACAATCATTCGAACGCTTTTGCAATCTTTCGATACCGCTTTTGTAAAACGATTTTTCTTTGTCTTCAAAATAAGCATTACTTTCGGCGATTACTTCATCATTTGAGCCAAATCTCTTACCACGGAGCATCTTTTTGAGGTCTGCGAAGAGCCAGTAGTCGCTGGGGACCAGAACTGGAGAATACGGTGGGTGCGGCAGCAATTCGTAGCTCAATTCGTTCAATTTTGCCATCGTTTTCATCGACTTGTGCCACGGTTCATTGTCTTGGTGGAACAAAACTGTTTTCTTCGCCATATGAGGCCGTTTCTTTGCGATTTCGTATTTCAAACGCTCCAATAACGCTATATAATAG